GAGGGTATTGCTGCAGAACCATTTTTTAAAGTGATAAAGGATGTGCTGATTAGATGCGGGCTTTCACCAAAGATGCCTACAGGCTGTACATTTGATGGAGCTTCAGCAATGGTCAAACTGGGACGCCTGATCAATGAGTATACAAATGGGCAATCAGTTTACATTCACTGGCTCACTGCAATGACATGATTATCAGAGATGCCATCGCCAAAAGCTCACTGTTTGCAAATGCAACGCTGAGGTGTCAGGATCTTTATGCGCTTGCAGGTGTCTCCCCTAAAGAATCATGCTTTTTGAAGAGTTGCAAACTGATGAAGATGACAACACCAAAAAAACGCAAAGGTTGCAAAATTTTTCAGTGACTAGATGGACCACAAGAGGGAGAGCGGCAAAGATAACATCGAAACATAGTTGTTATCTATAAAATCTCTGTCAAAACGTAGTTGTTATCTACAAAATCTTCTCGATCATTTTAGAAATCGATTCAGCCTCGAATATTTAATATGTTTACGAGAGTTTCATGTCAAAAAGAAACCGTTGGCAGTTAGATTAAATAAAAATGGACATGTTGTTGCATTGTTTGAGGAAAAACAACCTTCGGATTTTAGTCGGTAAAATTGGGATTTTGACAGGTGGATGATGTTTTTTAAATTTTCAAAAATTGTCCTTCATGTAATTTTTAAAAACATTCAAAATATTAAAAAGATCTGCAGTTTAATTTTTCTGTTCATCCAGAAGAGGATTTTCAGGAACATAACAGAAGAAGATTAATCCCAAGAAATTTTAAAAAAACAGAGACAATTTTAGTCTGACAGATGCATTTTTAGCCATTCTAAAAGGCTTTATTTCAGAAAAAATGTTTTCAAATCGGACCCAACCAAATACTTGGGATGTGACTCTGTTATTCTTATTATGAATGAAAAGCAGGTGGTGGCTTTTGGTTCTCAAAAGGCAAGAATATTCTAGCACAAAACTTTCAAGTTAAAATTCTTTACGTGCATATTTTTTTGTAAGATTTATAAATTAATAATTGCATTTTAATATTTAGCGATATTTCCTATCTTTTTTAGTCAAATAAAGCAGAGCCAACTTTTATTAATGCTTAGTAATGCTTTTAGTTGTCCTGTAGTTCTCTTCAAACACTGGCAGTCAAACCGGATGGACAATTGGCACCTTATGCCATTTGTTTATCTCAATTTATTCATTTACTTATTGTACATTATTTCCATAATTCAAAGTTTTGGCAATGATTTTTGAAACAGTGATACTACCCTCAATAAAATTCCACCCTTAAAACGAAAATATAATCCAACATTCAATTACGTTTTCAAGGGTTTGACTTTATAAACTTCCTGTTGGCTAAAAAATATTCAAAAAATTCTTACCGTCGCAGATACAAATCTTGCTTAAATATTTTATAAAATTTATTATAATTATATTACTTAGCGAGCTAAAAAAAATTTTCAATGCTTCAATACTCAGCACAAGCTGACTTAATTTTAGATGCCAACACCAAAGAAAGAGACGCTTACACATACAAGAAAGAGCAATATCCCTTTAACCATAAATATGGAAAATTTTTTCAGAAATTAGTTTCATCATAGACCAAAATCAAATAACTAGAATGCATCAATGCACAAAAACTTAAACCCAATTTCTGAAATCTCTTTGCACCAACCTATTATTGTATTTCAAAAATGAATTATTTGCTGAAAAACTATTCTTCAGCAAACGTTTCATATCTTCAAGTAAGATTAATGTTGTCTGCAAATGGCTGACCAGCAGCTTGAAGCTAATAGGGGTGAACAAGTTCTGTAAGTTTCTTGCATTGTCCCTCCACCCCAATGCATAAAGACAAACCACAGTCTCTACCTATCTGTTGTCATAGCACTTTTAGTATAAGAAAAAAGTAAAGTTTAAAAAACAATGCCAATAAACAAGATAGAACAGAGAGCTTACATGGTTTCATTTGAATTGCAATCGCAGGCACACAATTTTTTCTGATGTGTTGAAAAAGAAATAATTGTGTTGACACTTCATTGTTAACCAATAGAATTGTGAACATGAATTTTGATTTTATAAAGCAGACTCAGTATACATAAAAAAGAAGGCTGGCTGTTACATTTTATACATTAGAAGGGTATACTTCAATTTCAGCTGAAGCTATTCAAAGACCTGTAGCGAAAGTTCCTTATTGGCATGAGGGCTTCACAGTTGTTGGATTGCCACATGGAATTCCATTTTGTAAACCATGTGACTATGGAACAAAGCAGAGGGAAAATATCATGTCTGCCAGTGGGGCAGGAATCAAAGTCACCAGAATTTGGTGATCTACAAGCCATCCTAACTCGTCATATATATCAAAAGGAGGCTATGTAAACAGGTCAAGCTGTGTTTACAGCACTTGTTTCACAGATACAGGAAGCGGATGCTACAAAATGGAAAATGATGGAGAAGCTAAAAACGAACCATCTGGAACTTTCCGCCGACAGCTTGCACGACCTGAATTGGGATCAGTGGAAGTTCGGTGCTTATGCAACAAACTGCTGCCGTCCCCATTTCCACAACCAGGTGGACTTTTCCGGCCAATAATGATGATGACTCTAATGAGATTGTGAGTGTTTTGTATGACAACGTTCTACCGAAGTATAGTTTTGCTTACGAGCAAAGTCAAAGAGAGTCAAAGCAAAGAAGATCGAGAAAATACTTTAAGAAAAAGACCTCACAAACGGGAAACATAGGCCTAGCCCAACAAACAGAGGCAGAGGAGCCTCGTTTTTTAGAAGTAGATTGAAGGATTGAAGTATGTGGATATTTGTCTTTATTCAATCCCACTGTGTGTTTTCAAAACAGATGCTTATGTCTTAAGACCAAAATCAAATGTAGTTCAGGGATGTACAGATGGCGATTTCTGTTTAATTTCATGAAAAAGGATTCAAATATTCAAAAGCTTTTGTTTATTTTCAACATTTCCACACCTAAATCATTTATTCTAGTCGGTTAAGTCTTAAAAAGTTCAAAAAGAGAACAAAACAGAGACACAGACAAAGCTTTATTTTCTATAATTACTTGCAACTTTTTGGACTTGTTATCAATACAATGATGCTTCAATCTTTTTCTTTTTGAACTTAACATGCTAGAAAAGTTTTCTAGAATTAGCCAATGATGGAACTTTGTTCATTCGCAAATTAGCACACAGGGAAGTGCTCTTTTCTATTATATCGCAAAAAATTATTCTGTTGTAACATGTGATATGAGCATTCATTATCAACAACTTGTTATTGCAGAAGCTGTTTTGTTACATTGAAGTTTATTATTTTCACAGAATCTTCCACCAGTGTGGATTTCCAAAGCAGTGGAGAAGAAGCAGCAGAACCAGAAGAAGATGGTAATGTTTATTTTAAATTCACTTAAAGTAGTTACTTACAATTATAATTGCATTATGAAATAAGAGAAAGGTATAATTTGCTGCAAAAAACTTTGCAATGGACATTCTTTGTAATATTAGGGAAGTAATCGCTCACTAAAGTCTCCACACTTGCTCAAATTGTCATACTATTGCACACCTCCTGTAAAAATAAAAATTTCCGAGAATTTCAAAGAAAATCAAACTACCTTAAAGTTTGAAGATATACTTTTGAATGTTTCTAAAGCAGTGGAAAGTCAAAGTTACCAAATTAAAAGACAGTCCTCTTGGTTTCCAAAGTGTAGAATTCTTCTTGTATGGGATTTAACAACAGTGTGACAAAGTAGTTATATATCTTGGCATGAAAGGTAGCCTGATCAAACTGGATATTTTTTATGAATATCCTCAATATATAATAATAAATAATTTGTTTAAAGTTGGCGTACTAAATGAACGGCTGATAGCTATAAAGAAGCTAATTAAGGCCAACTATCTATAAAGAGTTAGTATGAAATAAAAATATATGATACAATATTAAAAAGGTTTAAGGTATAATGTTCTAAATAAAACCTAACCCAGCAATAAATTTTTTACACAATCTACAGTCGCATTCTATAGGGTGTGCTCTTAATTCTTTTTTAAATGTTGCCAATGATTGGGACTCTCTTATACTGTGAGGTAGTGTTTGCCACAGTTTTTGACCTAAATATCTCACAGTTTCTATACCATAAGAAGTTGTCCTGGCTTTTGGAATGCAAAGATTATTTTTAGTTCGCAAATCATAATGTACATTTCTTGTTTCAAAAATCTCACTCATGAAACTAGGGTTCAGGTTATGTTTGGTTTTGTATATTTCTATCATCAAGTTCTGTAGATTGCGTTGGTGAATTGATACTGCATTATCCAAAGTCAGCAATGCTTCGTAGTCAGCATGACTGTCTTTATAAACAATTCTGAGTGCTCTTTCGTGGATTTTATTTACTTTAGCATTCAGACATCTGTCATGGAACATCCAAATTAGGGGGCAGTAACTAAACTGAGCTTTTATGAAGCTGTTCATTAGGAGACGCAGTTTATCAGAACCCATAAATGGCGAAACTCTAGCAAGAGCATGCAGTTTTTGGCTGGCTCTTTTGCATAAATTTGAGACGTGACTTTTGAAATTAAGATTTTTATCTATTATCACCCCTAGCAGTTTTTCTTCAGAGCTTTCTTCAACAACATATCTGCTACCATAGCAAAGATATGGAAGTCATTAACATTCAAGGGCCTAGATGGCTAGAGGGGCTTCATCCCCCTTTCACATCTTTCTTATGCTAGCAAGTTTTTACAATTTTTTCATAGTTTTTTCTGTGAAATTAAATATAACCAATGTAACCACACAGATTTTCTTTGTCTTTGACTCATGCACCACAGATTAATACTTAGAGCACCTAATTCATTTGTGACTAGGTACCAGTTTAATTTATCTTAGGACCCTTATAATACACAGTTAAAGGGCTTTAATTTGGACAAAAGTGTTTACTTTATTTAAGAAAAAAGGCACCTCCCACACAAATTTCGAAACGCATCTTGGCCTTTTGTGACAATTCATGAACTTTAGAATTTTCCAATTCAGATATCTTCAAGAGGTTGCAAAACAACTCTTTGATAAGATCCTGGGAATCTATTAACCAATCAAATTCATCAATCATTATATAAAAAAGCAAAACAATTTTCGAGTCAATTTCCTTGGTTTCTGTCATTTATCACAAGTCTCCTTAAAAGCAGCTCTTTATATTTCTTGATAACAGGATTAAAAACGAATGATGAAAAAGTCGTTCATTTTCTGGCTCATGTCATTGTGCAGGCAAAGTAATCAAGACATATGAAGCTTCCCACAAGGCCTATTTCCATATTATAAATATTTCATGTCATATTACATTATATTTTTAAATATTTAGAGGTGTTGCAGAACACACTTAGATAAGCTATAGATTAGTGCTTTTCACACCAAGTGCCCTATGCTGTGTGTAATGAAAAGTAATATATATCAAAGAAAAGCTGATAAGCTAACAAGTTAAAAATGGCAACTTCAAACTTTTTTATAGAAATTAAAATAAAAAATTATACAGAATTCATGAACACATTTCAGGAAATCCAGCAGGGAGAGCCAGACACTATGCAACATATAAGCAAAATTATTTAACTAAAGTTTTGGAAACATGAAACTTCATAATGAGTATTTTGATTTTTCATAATAGATATTCTGTTCTTTGTATTTTCTTATCTCTTTGTAAAGCATTTTAATTATATTCTGTGAAAGTTTAGATATCTTTTAATTATATTAAAATTTTAATAAAATTTTAATTATATTTTTCAAAAGCACTTTATTCTAAGCTTAAGTTTACATGTTTACTTTCTTACTGAATTTTGGAATGACTTTATTCGACGCTCCAATTTCTTAAAACATCAATATTATCTTAAAATCGGCTGTTATCTTAGATTTTCATACTCTTCACAGACTTTCTAGGATTAGCCTTTAATTGTGGAAATTTTGTGCACAAAGGATTACTTTGTTTGCATGGAGCAGCATAGAGGCAATTTTGGAGTTGTTGATGTCGATCGAACTGGCTTCCTATGTTTAAGTTGTGTGCATGGACCTCACTCTTGCGATCATGTTGAAAACAATTAAGCGAGTGCTGGAAAATCGGCAGCTAATGGTTCCAGATTTTCTACTGGAATTGGTACGAAAGCATGAAGCTCTACAGATGCAACACTTGAGAGGTTATGTTCGCAAGGCAGTCTCAGAACATTCACCCCTTTCGTTGCAAGTGTCAATTTTTAATGGCTAACTGCAAACAGTTTTAGATGACAGTGGAAGACTCCTTCCTGCCTTTCATACTGACATCTGTTCATCTTGCTCGACACCGTTTGGTGAAACTTGGCAGATTATACTAAGCATTTAGTAAAAATGAAAGTTATCAAGTCTGTCTCAGGTAAGTTTTTTGTTGTAACCAATGTTATTTCCTCTCTAGATGTCACATTTCCACAGGTACGTTGCATTACTTTGTTGATATGGGTAATTTATGTCCTTTTGACAAACCTTTTAACCCCATTGATTACAAACAAGTTGTTTGGATTTGTAGTGCTCTTTATGGTAGATTTAATGATTTGATGCACTAAATTTCTATGTTTTGTACATCACTATACTGTAACATACATTGGTATTAAATTTTGTTGATTTCTATTTTCTCAACCTCCTGTCAAATTTCATTGTATTGTTCTTCCAATTGTAAACATCATTGATATCTTTTTTGATTACTTCAAAAGTAAACATTTCACATTTAAACAATTTGTAGCATTGCATCTGTGATTATCCCAAAATATGAGAAGTTACTTAAAATGTTGATCGATTTATTCTTAGAATTTTGAAATCACATCTTTTGAAGTCACTATTAACTGTTAAATGAAAAAGAATTGAGAAAGTAAATTTTCCCTAAGAAAGGCCTGAACCATCCAGATATAAAACTCAAAAGCCTTTAAAAAATCAATCTTTTAAAATATAATTACAATAAAAATCTGTCACTCCAGGCAACATTGTATTCTGCCATAACTCAGCGTCCCTATCAATTTTCTCAACATGCAAGTCCAGATTTGTAAGAAGAATAGAGTCAATCCATGGGAGATTTAGAATGTCCAGTATCCCCTTAAAAGTAATAATGTTTTTTCTTCAGCTGAAGTCTATTTGAACCAGGTTTTAAAGAGAAAGATTTCTCCTCAGAAGCAGTAGCCAAAGTAATTTCTCTTTTGGTGAATGGGCACTCAAATTCAATGCATCCTACTGGTACATTGTCTCTTAAAACTACCCCATCTGGACTACAACCAAGTCATGGAATAGCAGTGTTGATAATGAATCCACATTTTTTAATTTGAAAGTTTCCATTCAATGTTTTACTTTGAATATATTTAGTGATTGCTACATCTTAATAATCAATACCCTTTTATAATGGTGCTAGTAAATTTCCTTTTCCGGTAGCCCTTGTGATGGAGTTTATGATAGCTTTAGGCCAATTATTTTTCTTCCACTCATTATTTTGCCAAAATGAAACGCTGTCACACGTTTCCGTGAATAAGTGCTTTTTGATAATATTCTCTGTCATTCTAGGGAAACAGCAGAATGATTTCATCCAGCCATCTGTAATGTTTTTGTTTTCGGTTTCATGGATTCAGATAGAGTTGTCGGGCCTGGTTATGGTAATTGATGTCATATCGCAAGGCTCCCTGTCTTCTGAAATCGAATTTATGCTAGTATACATAAAAAAGAAGGCTAGCTGTTACATGTTAAACAATAAAAGTCTATATTTTAATTTCAGCTGAAGCTATCCAAAGACCTGTAGCAAAAGTTCCTTATTGGCATAAGGGCTTCACAATTGCCAATAAGCAAACAGTGACACACATACAGGGACACAGAGAATGTCGATGTTCTGTTTTCAAAAGCCAGAAGAGAAGAAGAATGCTTTGGTAAATTTGATTTCGTTTTTCAACGGCACCTGCATGGCAGATTAGCAGAATTTGAAAGGGGTAATGCTGGAGTTTTTACTGGAGTTTTTGCAGATATCCAGAATGTCTGATTGAGTCTATTGATGTGATTATCCAGGACCAAATCTACCGGGAAGTAAAAGAATGCAAGTTCATTATTATTCAGGTTGACAAAACAACTGATATTTCTACTAAGGAGCAAGTGAGTGCAATTATAGGCCTTGACAAAAAAGGAGATATTGTAGAAGGATTTTCGATTTTTTATAATGTCAGTTCTGACAGAACTGCACCTACTATCACTGCAATTATCAAAGATATATTCAAGAAGTACGGATCTTCAATTCAAAAGAAACTCATTATGCAGACATATGATGGGGCTTCTGTTATGTCTGGGCACATTGCAGGGGTTCAAACTTTAGTTACGGAACAGTACCCGTATGCATTTTTCTTTCACTGTGCTGCCCATAGGCTTAATCTTGTTTTGTGCCAGTCAGCTTCAGCCATTCCTGCTGTCAACGTTTTTTTGCTAATGTCAGTGCATTCAGTAATTTCACCAGTCTAAGCTCCAGAAGAAAAGATCTTTTTCATTCACATGGAGTTGAAATTTCACAGCCAGGGGACCCAAGGTGGTATTATCGATCCTGTAATGTTTTTGTATTCTTGCCAACAAATACAAAGATATTTCAAAAGTGTTGGATATTGTTCTTGAAAATCCCCAAGGCTGGGATGATGCAACCCTTACTCAAGCCAGATTTTTATTTTGTTTTCTTATCAAAGTCTTCAACAAAATCTTGGAACAATCTTCTATCCTTTATATGTTCCTTCAGAACAGAAATACTGACTTCAGTTATAGAGTTCAAAAGATATCAAACTTTTTAGACTTTCTTTGCACTTTACGAAATGATGAAGAATACAACTGTCTCTATGCCTCCACTGTTGAAGAAATTGGTCAACCATCTTCAGGTCAGACTTAAAATAAAACTTCAAGCAACTGTTTTTTGAAATAATTGACAACACCAAGGTTATGATGAAAAAGAGGTTCGCAGATTGCAAGAAATTTTCATTCCTGGATTTAGTAAATCCTAAACTTTTTCCTCAATGGAAAGATAAGGTCCCATCTGACATGCTAGTTTCTTTAAAATCTGTTCATGGTCCTTTTTCGTCTTTCAAGTTCTTGAAAGCCAGTTGCTGTTCCTGTATAAAATTTCTACAAGGAAAGTCCCACTGAAATATTGGAA